CTGCATCGTCGGCATCCCCAACAACCCCCAAAACCGGGCATCGTGCGGGTAAACGTAGGGCTGATGGGCGTATCGGTTTTCCCGCTTTGTCAGATCGCCGAGCGTGTTGAGTCTCAGTTCGGGTGTTAGCCCTGATGTGGCGGCATTCACATCATTCGTGCCGCCAACGGGTCGCACCGAAAGATCATTCTTGCCATAAAAGCCCGACTTTCTTCGTTCGACAACGGGTATATTGCCTTCTAAACCGGGGGCAACTAGTAGCACACGACGATATAACGTCGTTCCTCGCAGGAACCAAATCACTTCGGCAACAGGCGATGAAATTGATTGTGTTGAAGTACCGTTGTGATAGATACCTCGGAACGGCGTCTCCAGATTTCGCGATGTAAACATCAACACATCATCGAAGTCACCAAGCGTTGTGCCTTCGATATCAAGGGTTCCGTTGCTGTCTAAGTCGTACCCGTCATACTGGCCATCGCCGTCAGGGTCATACGGCCGCAAGGGCAGCACCGGGCCGATCGGGCCTTCGATGTATTCGAAGTAGCCGAGGTTTTCTTCGGGGCGGAGCGGGGGGACCATGCGGGCGGTGGCGCCGGCTAGATCGCGTTGAAGGAGTAGTTGCGTTGAACGCAGGCGGTCGGCCGTTTCGATGGTCGCTCGGGAGTTGCTAATCTCTTCGGTCACTGTGCCGAACACGGTGACGACCATGCCCATCAGCACGAGCGTGAGCACGGTGGCGACTAAGATTTCGACCAACGTGAAACCACGATGGGTTCTCGCGCGAAACTCGCCCCGGCGTGATGGGACCTGAATGAATTGGGGACGCAACATGAGACCTCTCCTCCGACGGACCCCTGCAAGCGGTGTGACCCGAGTTGGGTCGACCTTCTGAAGCCCTGGTGGATGATCGAAGTTGAAAAGAAGGGTGCCACCAGCCGCGGGCCAGGGCAGCATTTCGGTCGCAACGCCCCGACGAACCGGTGACGTGCAACCCCCACGATCAAGCTCCGAACACTCACCCGTGGCTCCGCTCGAGGAATTCTACGCGGCGGCGACCAGCAGTCACCACCAGAACCCACGGGCAAGCCACCTTCCGCGCGTTCCGGCCAAGACGCACGGGTGCCTCAACTTCTTATTGCAACCTGAGTTAACGGTTATGTCAAGCAAGTTGCTGTGGTGAGCAAGTGAATCGGGTGATTGCTCAGTAAAGTGACGATTTGCTGTAGGGAACGCCCTCCGTGGCGTTCCGGGCATTACGGCAAACCTACGGAACGCCACGGAGGGCGTACCCTGCAGGGCGGTTTGATCGATCGGCGGGGATGAGGGTTATTCCGACACCAACGCCGGCTCTCGCCGTACGATCCGGCAGGGTCGGGGGATTGGTTTGCACCCTAACCTTTGGACGGGGCAGGATTTTCCTCACAAATCGCTGGCATTCTAGCTGACATTTTGCGACAATCTTACTTGGGTCAGTTCGGTTTCAGAACTGAAGGCCATCGACGCCGTCATTTCTACGTCGGGCTCATATCATTTGCTATTCGTCCGGTCGGGTTGCCGATCGGTCGGACGGTTGATGGCTACGCGAGAGGCACGCTGGAACCCGAGCGAGTGGGCGATTGGATCTAGAGGAGAACATTATGAAACGTCAGGAACAACGTAGGACCGGTTTTACGCTGGTCGAACTCTTAGTCGTCATCAGCATCATCGGCATGCTCGCGGCCTTGCTGCTCCCCGCAGTCAACTCCGCCCGAGAAGCCGGCCGCCGCAACACCTGCATGAACAACCTCAAGAACCTCGGGTTGGCAGCACTCAACTACGAGTCGGCCAAACGAGAGTTCCCAGGTTATAAGAACGTGCAGGCGGAGAGGTCTTACGAATACAGCGCGACCGAGAATCGCCTGACAGGCACTGCAGAAGCATCCCCCCCGTTCCCGCAGCCGACTGGTTGGGTCTTCCCGCTACTTGGCTTTCTAGACCGTAGTGACATTTTCGATGCTTACGGCAATCGCGGGAAAGATCAACAGAACTTCACAAAGGGCGTTCCGCCTGAGCACCTTAGCCTGAAGATCGTCAAATGCCCCAGCGACATCAATGCTGAGTCAGAGCATCCCACGGCAGGTATGAGCTATGTGGTCAACGCAGGGATGGAAGACATGCACGTCGCCCACACATGGGATGGGACTACCGCCGACTTGGCTGCTGTGAATATGGAAGATGTTAAGAAGGTCGACATAGCCGCCAACGGTGCATTCCAAAATCACTATCGGTACTCACTCGACACTCCGGCTGCATCTCCCCTCAATGGTGCCACTGCAACCGCTCAGAGTTTTGAGAAAGTGAGCGTCAACAGTAACACCTTACTCAGTGGAGACGGTTCATCCACTACGCTACTCATGAGTGAAAACGTGAATGGTGGTCTGTGGACTGACTTTGCCGAATGGAAAGTGGGTTTCATCTGGGAACCCGCCACCGATGGGGGCGATAGCCCAACTCAACCTTACAATCCCGATACTTCCGCGACTGTTAACCATCTGACCGAGTACCAAACTCCGGTTCGCTGGATCAATGAGGATTTGGACGGCGCCATTGGTACGGATAGCCCCTACCAAGCTGCTCGACCTTCGAGCTATCATCCTGGTGGCGTGAATGTTGTCTTCGCTGACGGACATACCTATTTCCTTTCAGAAACGATCGACCCGGTTGTTTATGCCCAATTGATGTCGGTTTGGGGCAAGAATGCTACAGCTCTAGACCTCGATAGTTCGTCGAATCTGGTAGAGTATAAGCTCGGCACTTACACTACCGATGACGCCGATCCAATTGTTGGTTTCTCGGCCTTCGCCACCCAAGTGCTAAACGAGAATGACTATTAATCGTCCGACTGACGTCGAGCGTTATTCCTGACTCTCAACGACCCTGGATGCCAACTGCGGCCTCCAGGGTCGTTTTTTTGTGCGCGATAAACGGCGGCGGGTGGCCCGGCCGCAACGGCCGGGTCGCCGAAGGCGACAAGATGCTCTGGAGAGGAGCCCGCAGCTCAAACAGGATTTATCCTTGAAGGAAACGCGACCCAGACGCTGACTGAGCAGAAAATTCTCTCAGATCGAACGACGCATTTCCCCGGCTCCTGCCAGCACAGTAAGAATTCCTGCAAGCGGAAACTCAACTTCGAAGCATCACGCGACCATCAAGGCATCTTGTCGGCTGCGCCGATCCAGCCGGGGCGGCTGGACCACCCATTTTTGAACTGTCTTGGATGAGAGATGTTTGCAGTTCTTCGACTAGATAGAATTAGTCGAAACTTCGAACCCCTGCCAAGTGCTTTCGTAATGTCCAAGCGTCGCGTGATTACCGATCGTGCTTACGCGCACTTCGTCACGTTTTCTTGCCATAAGCGCCGGCAGTTGTTGCAGTCGGATCGCACCAAGAAGATTGTGATGGCAGCCCTCGATGAGGAGATTCGTCGACATGAAGGGTGCTGCATTGGATTCGTCATCATGCCTGACCACGTTCACGCAATCATTTGGCTGCCGGAGTGCCAGGCAATTTCGTCGTTTATGGACCGATGGAAGGAGCGATCCTCAAAGCGCATACAGGCGTATTACAAGCAGCATTTCGCCACCTACTGGTCGAAGCTTGAAAATAACCACGTCTGGCAAGCTCGTTATTACGACTTCAATATCGAATCTTCGAGTAAGGTCGAAGAAAAGTTGGCGTACATGCACGCAAATCCGGTACGTGCGGGCTTGGCGCCCAGACCAGAAGATTGGCCATACAGTTCGGCGCGTTATTATTCCCTTTCGACCTCTGTGGGTGTCAAGATTTCTAGCCCTGCGGGAGCGTTCGAGTAACTGGGGTGAAGCGAAGAGCTATTAGGTCGTAGGGGAGGCTGGATCGGGATGCTATTTTATTGATGCTGTCGTGATCAGATTCTTGCGAGCGGAAACTCAACCTCGCAGGATCGCGCGTGTTTAAAGGCATCTTGTCGGCTACGCCGATCCAGCCGGCACGGCTGGACCACCCAGTAATTCAAGATTCCCCGCAACCGCACTCACACCACAGGGGTGGCCCGGCCGCGCCGGCCGGGTCGCCGAAGGCGACAAGATGCCCTAAGCAAGAGCCCAGAGCTATAACAGGATTAATTTTTGGAGGAACTGTCGCGTAATCGCTGGATTGCAGGAAAGATCGCTCCCCGATCCATCAAGGCGTTTTCTGTGAATCCTTGCACAGTAAGAATTTCTGCAAGCGGAGACTCAACATCGAAGCGTCACGCATCTTGTCGGCTAGGCCGATCCAGCCGACGCGGCTGGACCACCCACTTGCGTCGGGTGCTAGCTCATCAGTATGAAAATCGGGTAGGCTGGGGGGTCGTTTGGGAACCGACCTTGTCAGCGGGGAGGGGGGACGCTATTGTCCGCTTCCTTATCTGAGAAACCTGACTCATCTACGCGGATTCGTACGCCGCGAACCAAGCAATTGACGTTGTCCACGCGGTTGATGTGCATCGTTGCTGGTGCCGGATTGGTGGCGCTGCTGGCGGTGGCCGCGTGGCTGGAACCCAGCCCGAACGGTCTTGGAACGCACCAGCAGCTCGGTCTGCCGCCGTGCACGTTTCGGATTCTGTTCGGCGCGCGTTGTCCTTCGTGTGGCATGACCACCGCCTGGGCTAACGTGATGAATGCACAACCTGCTGCGGCCTTTCGCGCGAACACCGGTGGAACCCTGCTGGCGATCGTGGCCTTGGCCGTGGCACCTTGGCTGTTGCTGTCGGCCGCCCTGGGGCGATGGTCGCCGGTGAAGCCGAACGATACGTATCTCGTCCTGGGGGCGGGAGTGTTCGTGGCGATCACGCTGGCCGATTGGGCATGGCGAATGATCGCCACGTAACGAGCGGGCGGGAACGGAACAAACTAGAAAACGGATTTTCGACGCGTGACGTGGTAGCCCGGTGGGGCCCAGGTCTTTGAGTGAATCGAACTACGCGAAGAGGAATTGCGATGGATCGCAAACTTACGGCTGATCGTCTCTCGAAGGGGCTGTTGTCGATCGGATTGGTACTGGCCTGCGGAGCACTGCTGGCAGCCGGCGGATGTGCCGGCCCTCTGGCCACGGCCATGTACCTGATTAACGGCACCGACATCAAAGCCGAGTTCAAAGACCTCAAAGGGAAACGGGTCGCCGTGGTTTGTCGCCCGCCGGTTACCGATCAATTCCAGAACTCGCAAGCCGCTGAGCTACTGGCCCAGGAAGTGAGCCACATGTTGGCGCAGAACGTGGCCGGCATCGATGTTGTCGACTACGCCGACGCCGCCGCGTGGCAGGACGAAAACACCTGGGACGACCCCAGCGAGTTGGCCGAAGGTGTTGATGCCGACATGGTGTTGCTGGTCGACTTGAACTCGTTCGACATCTATCAAGGCCAAACGCTGTACCAGGGCAACGCACGAGTGCAGATTGCCGTGCACGACATGGAGCAAGATGGCAAAGTGGTGTTCGCCAAAACGCTTCCCCCGTCGATCTATCCTCCTAACGTGGGAGTGCCCACGTCAGAGCGGCCCGACGACAGCGTGTTCCGTGCCGAGTACGTTCGCGTGCTGGCCGACGAAGTTGGTCGCCACTTCTACAACCACGACTCCTACGCCGACGTCGCTCGGGACAGCAAGGCGTTCGGGTTGTAATTCTAAAACGTAGTGCTTCTCGAGGCGTTCAGCGTGCACGAGGGTCCCTTGGTCGGAGTGCGGGCTGTGGGGTAAGCTGGGCGGACACATTGGTTCGCATGACGCTTACTACGATTGAACAGGCCGATGAGAATCTCGGGCACGCGGTATGACACTGGCGATGCAGTCACGGTAGAGATCGAGGGGGACCGGATCGCTCGGGTTGTTCCTCGCAACGCAGAACAGGGTGATGCTGAGCCGGGCCCGTGGATCGCACCGGGATTTGTCGATCTGCAGCTCAACGGCTACGGCGGGCAGCAGTTCAGTTCGGCCGAGCTTACCGTCGAACATGCCGCCGCGATTCTGGGGACCTATCTATCGTTCGGCACCACTCGGGTATGCCCAACGGTGACCACGCAGTCGGCCGAAGTGCTCGAGCACTCGATTCGCACGCTTTGCAGCACCATTGCAAGCGACTCTCGGCTGAAACGTCTCGTGGCCGGGATTCACGTCGAGGGGCCGTACATCTCGCCGAGCGACGGCCCGCGGGGTGCGCATCCTAAGCAGTTCACGCGTCCGCCGAACTGGGATGAGTTCCAACTCTGGCAAGACGCGGCCGATGGGGCGATACGAATTGTTACCTTATCGCCGGAGTACCCGGAGTCGGCCGAGTTCATCGCGAAGGCGACGGCCAGCGGGGTAGTGGTGGCGATTGGCCATACGGCGGCATCCAGCGAGCAGATTCGCGCGGCGGTCGATGCGGGTGCTCAACTGAGCACGCACCTGGGCAACGGGGCGCATCTGGAGTTGCCGCGACATCCGAATTACATCTGGGATCAACTGGCCGAAGATCGGCTCACGGCCAGCATCATCGCCGATGGGCATCATCTTCCGGCTGAAGTGGTGAAGGTGCTCATCCGTGCCAAGACCCCAGAGCGGGTCATCCTCGTTAGCGATCTCTCTGGGTTTGCCGGACTGGCACCCGGAACGTACCCGAGTTCGCCCGGAGATGTAACGGTGCTCGAGGATGGGCGGCTGGTGGTTGCCGAGGAGCATCGCCTGTTGGCGGGAGCATCGCGGCCGATTGGTACGTGTGTGGCGTTGGCCATGCAAATGGCCGAGTTGAGCCTGAGGACAGCCGTAGAGATGGCAACCCAACGGCCCGCCGAATTGATCGGACTTAAGCCGAACGCACTACGGCCGGGCGATCCGGCGGACCTGGTGTTGTTCGACCTGCAGCCTCGCAAGCCCCAAGAAAAAAAGATGGCGCCTGAGTTGAATGTCAGAGCGACCATCTTGGCCGGAGAGTGCGTCTACGGTCATGTGCCCACGCTTGATTGAGTCGTGGACGGTACGTCGACCAATAGACGCACTCGTAAATCGATTAGCCCGACTGTTCGCCCGTCTCCGGCAGACTGGGGCCCGGCGGGCAGACCGCACCGCGAGCGTTGGCGAGCGATTGAATCGCTAAATCGGATTTTCCCGCGTGGCGATAACATTCGCTTACGGTAAGCCAGATGTACTTCGCCGCCTCGGCGGGAACCAGTTGAGCCGCCGCTTGAAGCGGAATAATGGCTTCGCTGTAGCGTTCCAGCGCGTTGAGCGCGGCTCCGCGCAGGTATTGGGCAGGCCCTTCCAGCGGACCGGCGTTGTCAATTTTATCCAGGCACTCCAACGTGCGTTGCGGCAGCCCCAGTTCGAGGTAACCCGACGCCTCGTTGATGGTGTTTCCTAAGCGTATGAATTGTTGTTTATCCATGATGCTTGCCTCTTTTCTGATGCGGAAGTTATCGAGAGTCGCTTCCACGTCTTGTGGTTGGTCTCGGGCACTCCGCCAAAACAGTAGGCGGACGCACCTGACCAAACTAACCACTATGCAAAGTGTATACCTGAACAGCAGCCAAGTCGCGGATTTGGCACGTAAATCCAGTAATGACAACATGTTTTAGTTGCTAGCCAGTTTTCAAAGAGGCGAGGGGGAGCCCCCACAAAGGAGGCACCACTGTCTGCCAAATTGGCACAGACTGCCCACATTTTGGCGGTCTGTCCTGCCGGTATTCTGAGCGCACGCAAGTGGCCGGCGTTACACGAGGGTAGGGCTGTGTTTGCCCTTAGAAGTCGTCAGACCGGGTGTCGGTCTCGGTGCCGAACTTGTTGGAACTGTAGACGGGCAGTGCCATGATGCGAGCCACGATTTCGGAACGCTGCTGCTTGAACCGCTCATCGTCGGGAACGCCGTACCTGGCCTGGAGCGTGTCGGCATCGAGCCCGCTGGGTAGACCTTCGAAACTCGGCACAACGTCGGCCAGGGTGACATTCTCGGCAAATGGCGAGGGAACGGTACCGACTACTTTCAAACGACGGGCGAGTGCGATTCCTGCCAAGTCGGCTGCGTAGTCGTCGAAGCTAAAGCCGCTGGGACCGCGGGCATCGCTCAGCTCTTTCACCAAGCCGGCCATCTCAGCCGAGCTTGGCCCCATGAGCGCGGTAATGGCCGCTGAGTAAGCAAAGTGCAGCAAGAGATCCTCCCGACCGTCGATAGTCGGCTTGGGTCCGCCGGCTGGGACGGCTAGCAACTCGGAATTCGGTCGGTTGATCCCACGCAGGCGCTGCATCCAGAAGGGATTTCGCCGAAGCTGGCCAGGGCTATCCATCGCAAGACCAAAGCCAAGGAGAAAAGCTTCGACTTGTTGCGACTTGGGAAGTTTCTCTGCTTCGGTTGCGGCAGCCTTGAGGCATACTTCGGTGAGTTGATCGCCAAAACCTCGCGGTGGTTGAGTATCACCAGTGGGGAGAGTGGCCAGTTGGGCGCTCGCCGCCTCGCGTACTGCATCGACTACCTGCAGCACCCGATTATTGCGGGCTTTGTTGGCAGGCGGGACTCTGGAATCGCGGCCCGTAGGAGCGTAGAGGAAACGTAAGAATCGTCCTGCGGCATCGTCTTCCGGGAAGCCGCGGGCGAGTTCGGTGTAGATGTTTCGCAGGCTCGACTTCGTGGGGGGCGAGACTTGGGCAAGCTGCGTGATGTCGCGGTAGCGAATCTCTTCACCGACCAGGTACAAGATGAGCGTATTCAACGGGTCGAAGCGGATACGAAAGCCTTCGCGGCGCGAGAGTCGATCGCCCAATTTGGGCCGCATCACCGAGTTTGGTTCGAGACTGTGTGTGGCTCCAAAGTAATGGCCCAGTTCGTGCACGAGAACCTCGAGCCGTTCGGCGTCCGAAATGTGATTGTGCCATTCACGCATCAGCAAGTGAGTACGGAAGGGGCCAAAGGTTCCGCCGAGCCGAGTGGTGCCCTCGGGCTGTTTGTATTGGCTGGTGAACCCGATGGCCAGTTGCGCTGGGTAAGGGGAAGCCTTACGTTCGAATTCGCTGAGTGAATCCTTGAACTCGGTCAGCGCGTCGTTCGAATTCCAGGTGTCGAAAGCCACAACTTCAAAGCGGATTCGGGCATGTCGTTCGAAGATTTTAGAGGCTGCCTCTAAGCGGTCGGATAGTCGCTTCTGCCAAAGCTCGGGGCGGGCGACCTCGTTTTCGTCCACCAGAATTTTGACCGGAATCACCGCGGTGGGGCAGAGGGCCAAGTCGCGGTAGAGCTGCTGTTGCTCTTCCAGGGCCTTCTTCGATAACCGATTTTCATCGGCCCCCGAGCCGGCCTGGGTGGCGGCGAATCCTTCCTCCTGGGTGAAGCCGATCTGCTGCAAGTCGAGTTGCCCATCGAAGGGTGCAAAGAAGCAGACCGTATTGGGATCGAGCACATACTCCCGCGGAGGATCACTTCCGAAATTGATCTGCACTACTCCCAAGACAGGAATAGGCAGCACGTCCCCGCTGGCTACCTGGTACGTGATAGGCTTGCCGAATGGTTGCCAGGGCGAGTCTTCACCAGCCGCGTTGAGGTCGGTCGCTTTCAGCGCTGTTAGCTGAAACGAAACGGTCTCTTCCATGCGATTGTCGAAGACAATCACCGCGGCATCTGCGACCGTGGCGAAGGCTAGTACCGCCAGCCAAACCAGAAATGCTGATGTAGAGGTTTTGCCCAATTGCACAACGCGCCCCAAAGTCCCTGGCACCGTGAAAAAAGAATCGGCAGCCCAAGTGGCCGCGAACTCACCCATGAGATGGATTTTACCCCGCTTGATGGCCTGGGGCACGCGTTGTGGAGCTTATGTTGTGCAGGGCCGGGATGACGTTTGGCCCTAAGTCGTCGGGAGAGGCTGAGTTGCTCTTTCTGTGAGAACTCAATAAAAAAGGGCGACCCAAGTGGGCCGCCCTTCGCGGTGTAGAAAAGGTCCCGGGGGGTACGTCGAGATCAGACGGAGAACTTCCCCCGGGACGGCTCTCGGTGGGGTGCGAGAGTGAGGTCGGGTGTTGTATCGTTAGGCTGCCGGTGCGGGTTGGACTACATCGACCGCGTCAACCAAGCGGCTGACCCCGGCGACCCGTCGGCAACAAAGGTGGCTTACTTGTTTCTCGTAGTAGGACTGTACCTGTCCTCGGAGTGTCACAACCCCTTCCCGTGCTTCGATCTCAAGCTTGCGTAGCGAAGACATATGGCAGCTCGCCAAAAAGTTTGCCACGCGACGCTCGAGATCATGATCGAAGCTCGAGTTTTGCAGGGTTCTAACCGTCATTCGAAACACTCCTTCGCACAGGCTCTTGCTTTGCCTGCCAAGCTTTCTTTCAGTGCTTGGCGTCTTGCTTCATTGGTTTCTGTTGGGAAGCAACCCTTGTGCCAAAACTCCGGACAGAAAATTTTCTGTGCCTAAAACGCAGCAGAATGCGATTATCTCGCGGTGTTTCGGCCAGTTTATTTTTGCTGGCACGTTCTCATCCCAGTTCGCTATCGATGCGGGGCATGCACCTGGGCGGCTCAACGCTGCTTGAAAGCTATGCACGGGGTGCAACTGTTCCGTGCAGTGCCGGAACGAATCGAGCATTCGACCGGACCTGAAGTCGTTTGCTCAGGTTTGAAAGGCGCGCAATGTACGACGCGTACCGATCCGGTAGAGATTGCGGTGAGGCAAAATGCCACATGCTTAAGCAATTGCCACAGCTATGGGGGGATGCTGCTTCACGCTTTGAAGCCGAGCCCCGGCTCGGTGAGGACCGAGGTGTCGAGCGTACCGTCGTCGAGATGAAACATGCCGGGATACCTTTCGCTCCAGCCGACGTTTCCGGCAGGGCAGTATTGTCGGGCGTTGCCTTCGATGGCCGCCACACCTGGTATGCGTGCGGCCAGGCTGGCAGAGTGCAGGAACGATGCTCCGGGACAGGTTAGATCTTGAACGCAGAGAAAGAGTTTGTGCTTCTGTGCGGCAGCGCCCATCAACAACGCCTCGCTGTGTCCCTTGCAGGCTTTCAGTGCTACGCCGCTGTAACCAATCTCGCGACAGAGAAGCAGACTCTCGAGATCAACCAGCGATTCATCGATCACGACCGGTTTGATCTTGGCCACCGGGTGCATGTCTTGCCGGGGTTCCCGTGTGAGATCGCGATGCGTCGGCTGTTCGATGTACTGCGCCCGACCCAGCGCCGCGGGAGAAAGCTCTTCGACCTTTGCGAGGAAGTCGAGCAAGTATTGAACGTTGGCGCATCGCTCGTTGAAATCGAGTGAGTAGTTCCACTGCTTACAGCCGCGGGTTTCTTGTGCCTCGGCCGCGATGCGTTCGACCGCGACAACTCGATCGACGTCCCAGTCCAAATTGTCCCCGTTGAGCTTGATCTTGAGATGCGTCAGCCCATCGGCTGCGATCCACTGGGGCAACGTTTCCGGCAAGCCATCGTCGATCCGCTTCTCGATATCGTCGTCTGTCAAAGGATCGAGCGCCCCCACCAGGTGGTAAAGCGGCATTCGGGCCTGGGGTGAACGGGATGTGTAGGCATCGAGGTACTCGCCCTCGAAATCGGGGCCTAGGTAATGGCTCAAATCGCGGTTCATGAACTCGCCACCGAGCGTGTTGTAGGCATTTAAGCCCAAACACCGGCCATAAGCATCGTGAAGTGCCGCATCCAGGGGACTGGCTGAAACCAACTGAGCCAAACGAGGAATCAGCTCGCGGAGTTGCAGTTCTGAAACCACCGCTTTGGCGTGCGAATCGAGATCACTATTGAGGTCGTGTGCGATCTCGAGCGGGTGCCCCGATCCCTGGTAACTTCCGGCGGCCTGCACGCATCGCTCGGCAAGCAACTGCATCGCGGCCAGCGTCTGCTCGCCGGTAACCATGTCGGTTGGCCATGCCCAGACGTTGCCCAGTGGCATCGATCCAAAGCCCTGTCCGCGGCGGCCGTCTTGAGTTTCCACGTCAACAATCACATCGAAGATGGTGGCCGAAGTG